GTGAGGGCTGCAGAAGGGAGAAATACAGCTCCGTATAGTAACACAAGTAGCACATTGACAGAATCACCAAGACCCTAGAAACTATCCCTAATAAATGAGCACACCCCAAAGTAATGGGCAGATTTGGTAATGCTGTGACAGACCTGGGGGTGGGACTGGGCCAGTGCTCACCCATCAAACACCAGCTCACCCCCACAAAGCCGCGAGAGATGTGGGTTCAATCACCTGAAATTAACCCTCACAGGGAACCCGTGTATAGGCACCCTGCCCTAGAGTGCCCCCGTCTGATACTATATTAGGTAAGGGTTACATTTTTGCACAATCAGCCATTTTAAAAGTGCCCTGCAGCCATAAATGTTTATATTACAGCAATGTACAAAGGACTTTCAGGGGCCTCATCACAGGAGAAATGTAATTTCTACACAAATTCACATTCTGTTTGCCCAGAGTCTCATCTATATTTGTTATATATTATATCATTATTATCCTTGCCTAGACAAAATATATCTTATTTTCTATGACAAGCACATGCAAGTACTGTGATAAGAGATCTAAAGCCAGAACCCCAGCCACGCATTATAACAGTGGGTCAGCACTTTGCTTTTTACCTTACACACTGGAAGTCTTTCTTTAGCCCAGGAGTATAACTAGTAAATGACTGCAAAACAGCCTAAAAGATGCCCAACATTGAGAAAGATAATCACAGACATTCTTCAAAAGCTGATGTTAAGCCACTCCTGAGTAAGAGGGCCTTGTTACTATGCTGTTGTTAGGGCTCCTACCAAATAAAGGAGAAAAAGCTGCCAAACATTATGAAAATATTGTCAACACTAAAGAAAACAGTAATTTCTGCTATTGTACAACAGTCAGTGAGACTCTGATGGTTTTTACCTCCTTTTCAAATATAGGAACTTCTGAATGGATCAGTGTCACTCCTTGCTACTATTGCAATCACTTGTTTCTAGTCCTGCAAAATGAAAAAAATTATAACCTCAAAATATGAGGTACAATACCATTTATCATATTGTATTTACTTTATTTATTTTGTTATTTTCAGCAAAATAAAAAGGACAACCAAGCAAAGGACATCAAAATAAAATGATGCCTTATATGTGTGAAAAAGGCACATGCCAAAGTTTAAAAGTCCTTTGTGTCCCCTGGGGGCCTTTAAAAGTTTTTATAAATTAGAGAAATTAAGAAGATAGTTTGGTTTGTTTTTTGAGCTATTCCAGCTGGAGCAAGAAAATGAAAAAAACCCTGTAAATTCACTGTTCTTCTAATATATATACAACTTTAATTACCTCAGAATTTTTTACTGGAACTTTTTTGTGTGTGACTTTTTATAGACTCAGAAATAGATGCTTGAACTCCTACAGGAAACCAGGAAGTTTGCCTGTTAGGGTAATAGTAATACTAATTCTACCTAAGTCTTTGGTAAAAATTGTATCACCATCAGTACTTTTCATTGCTTTTTAGAAGGTAACAGTTTAAGACAGCTTTGCCTTCACATACTTTGAATAGCTCATATATTAATGTGATATAAATTATTTTTTGTTGTTTTACATTCTTCTAGTTCAGTAGTTAGCACAAGTTATTGTGACAGCCAGTGGACTTGTTTTGGAAAATCTTGTTAAATTCAGTCATCCAACCAATGAAAAACCTTTGTTAAAATTCAAGCAAACTTCTTATTGCAAGAGCTAAGTATTATCTATAATTCAAGGGAAAAAAGGGAAATTTAGTTGTTTTATTTCCCGCTCCTTTGCAGTCACACTTTAATTATTTTTGAGAATGGAAAAAACTGCTACATAAATTATAAGCTTTAACCAAATTTACCAGGAGGGAAAGGATTAACACACATTGATTATTAATATTCTCTCTTTCTGAAAGCTCCTTAATCTTAACACTTAGCCAAAAAATGTTTTTGTTACTGAATTTTATAGCTGAGTCACTTATGGCTAGAGAGAAATTAAAAGAAGAAAATGACTTTTCACTCAGTAAACAGAAAATTCACAAGGCCTTATCTTCAGAACCTGCTGA